ATGAATTTCCACGATTTGAGATCGGACTACTGATGCACTTCTGTCCTTCGACTAGATGACTCTTAACACACCACACACGTCAGGAATATCTCCTGAGATTATCTTTAGATCCATTATGATAATCAGTTTGTCCTTAAGATTGTCGAAAGGGGAACATCGGGCCAAAAACAATTATCTTGCCATTTGGGTCATACATTGAAAGTAATTTAGTTCTTCTGTACTCAAAAGCATTTGGGATGGAGGTGGGGGTGGGGCACCACAACCAAAAGTCAGAACAGAATCATGTCATGCAGGTTAGACGCACTGCCTGTGTTCTTCTTTCTGATCACCAAACTGAGCACAACAGCTGCTGGGCACGGTTCACTAAACTGAGGGAACAGATTCTTACAACTTCAAATGCTAGTATTTTACTTTGTGATCCATAAAAGTTTCTATAACTTTCACTCTTTTCCTGCACATTTTGTTTGAACATTCAGAGCAGCAGAGTAACGCCGGATTTATACTACATGTGTCTCCGCTGCGCTGCGGTGTGCAGTTCGCAGCTGTTCGTTTGTGCCCCAATTTATACAGCGTCCGCAGCGCTCAGCTCCGGTCCGGTCCGACAGACAGAGGAGGGAGGGTATCGGGACTCGGGAGGATGTGCAGGAAGGAGTTCGTGCGATAAATCCACTGATAAAAGTGGAAGTCAGAACAAAAAGCAAATAATTCTGTGAAAAACGAACTCCAAACACAGCTGGAAAAATTGATATAAAAGCTTTTGATATCTATGTTGAAACTGTCTCGCTGTCGTCTTTTTGAAACTTTTGATTTCAAAATAAAATCCACCTGTATCGTGTATGTGCACATATGCTACAAGCTACATGTTTCCATCTGCTTCCCAAACAGAACGATACATTCTGACAGCATTTGTGTAGAAATATATCCATATATTGATTAATATAGCTGCAATTTCGACATTATTCTGACAAATTATTCCACCTAATAGGGTCTTATTTTGAAAATACGGATGTTGTGCTCGTTCCTCTTCCTGTTGGTGTGACATAATCTTTAAAAATTGACCCCGGCGCAGCTCCGGCGTCCGGCAAAAATAGGATCTGTTCTAATTTTGACGGATCGCCGTCCGCTCACCGCTGCCATGCGCAGCCAGTGTAAACACTCTCATTGATTATAATGGGTGCGTATTTGCAGAGGAGGTTGGACCAGAGCCGAGCAGAGTCGGAACACTTGTAGTGTAAATTGGGGATAAGATGTGCACAATATATCAGAAACTTATCGTGATCATGATAACAGCCTGTGCAATAGGCACATTGCCAAAATTGAGTGTAAAAGTCTCCACTCAATCTGCTGGAGGGAGCTGACGGACTGTAGACAGGCACTGGAACTGATAAATGGATCAAATCTTAGGTTTGGGAAAGTTCTTGTTACAAGTACACTGATTGGAGTCCTAACTGGGCACAACCTACTTAACCCCCACAAAATGGTGATGGGACTCCATGGCAACGGTCTGTGTGATGCCTGTGGCATTGAACTACAGACCTCTTTGCATTACTTAGAACACTGCCTGGCTCTGAGTAGTCAAAGGAAAAGTATTCTTGGGGATACCTTTATGGATCCAGAGAAGCTCAGAACTCTGACGGCCTTTCCCAATCAGTGGCTCCTCCCTCACCCTACTCACTACACTCGCTGTGAAGCCCCCTCACAGCTCAACTGAATCCCCTTGATGGTGCTGTGAAGTATAACTACACCCTCAGCTTTTGAGACGGGCTCTCCTCACGCCACCGGAACAGGAAGCTGTTGTCACCATAGTAGCATTCCAAGCTCTGGCAGCGACTGTTGGAGAATGAAAGCTTAAGATTGTCTAGAACAGCYAGCGCCACCTTGAGGGCCTCAAAAGAACAACAGTTTTTAACTTTGGGCCGCAGAGGGCCGCGGGACTGCATTGATTTTGATTAAGGTGCAATACACTTTCTCACCACTAGTAGCAGTAGTGCCCCACTCAGATGTTTGACAACTTTTTAATATGTAGAAGAAGAAACAGAAAACAATCAAGAATGGAAACCTACTTTAAATGAAAAGTAGAAGCGAAAATGAAAGTAAATTGTCAAAAAACACCTAAGTTTTTCACTAATATGAAGAGCAGCTTCTGTTTTTATCATGCAATATTTTAAAAGTTCAAAACATTATCAAATACAGTTGCAGATACAACTATATTTTAATTTGCACTTTAAATTAATTTTTGTAGTTTATTTTTAAACATTTTGAATGTTTTTTAAAGAAATTTTAAACTTGTCAAAAAGCTGTTGTTACTGTTATTGTTTGTCACTAATATGAAGAGCAGCATCTGGTTGCAAAAGTTAAAAAATGCTATATTTTAATTTGTACTTTATCAAATTTATTTTTACATTTTTCTTTATTTGAAACATTTACATTAAACATTTTTAATTCATTTATTTTATGCCCAAAATTTAATTTTTTGAATTGTCTATTTTTGTTATTGTTGATGTAAGAAAATATATACAGTATTTTTGTGCTGATAAGCCTGAGTGGTCTGTTGACTGACTTTTGTATTTGTTCAAACAATTGTTATGGGCAAGTTACAATATAAAAAAAAGTTTGTCATAATCATGTCTTGTGATTATTTGACAGGAGTTTTACTTTTAAACTGTAAGTGTATTTTATTTAGTTATGTTAGTTATGATAGTTTAGTTATAATGCAAAAAAAAAATTAAACCAAGATTTTCAATAATTATCATTTTGATCCATACATTGGTAATGTGTGACTGGGCCTCGTCCCTCTTTATGTTCAACAAATTGGGCCCCGAGGTCAAAAAGGTGAAGAATCTCAGGTCTAGAAGATGCAAACGGTTAGCACGCACCTTATGTGTGTTAACACCGCTGAATCAACAGGTAAACAATGTTTATTGTTGAGTTTAACCTTTATACCTTGTGGTAATAAATGTTACAATCAAAGCTACTTTCATAGACCAAAGGCTACAGTATATCAGGTCGATTTTCTGAACAAATTAGTCATAAATACATCACGTGAAACATGTATAAAATATAGTTTGTATTTAGCGACTCACATGCGGAACTTACATTTATATYTCCCGACATCCATGCCGACCACTATTTGGTGCTGCACGTGCTGCTTGAGTGAGTGTAAGGTCCTCACTTGCTGTGGAGGCCCTTATTAGTCACTCACGCATATTTGGCCAATCGGATCTCTTCACCTTAGATGCCCATTTGTAGACGCAGGTGGATAGCAAACAACTGAGCAAGCTTAGTAAGGGTCACAATGGCTAACAGCAAGACATGAGGAAAACAACAGAACTAGAGTTTTAAAAAAAAAACCAGCATGTCTCTTATTTGGACATGTTTTTAAATTTAAAGGGGCAATATCATGTAAAATTAACGTTTTGAGTTTTATATCATGTTATAATGTTATCCACTCATCAAAAACATGCCCAGAGTCTTACATTGACTCATTCATGCATGTTTGAGAAATCCTGTGTCCTGAGGCAGCCAGGCAGGGGGGGCAAAAATGACCAGTTGGGTCTAGAACCACCTTTTGGGATCATCTCCTCCTCTGGGCTGTGTCTTCACACAGAGCACAACTCCCCACCCCCCACGCCCCGCCCCTCCGTGCGGTCCTGCTGTCACCGAACCGGACCCTCGCTGACACTCACCGCTGCTCCAGGTTGCAAGTTGCTCRGTGTCAGAACATCCCGGAACATCCACAAGTAGTTTCCCCACGAAGACTAAAAATGCTGAGGTCTTTATAAACTTAGGAACATTTTAAAGCTGTCGTATCACCATAGCGGGTTTTCTTTGTTTTTGTTTTTTTTTTTTAGCCCTGTTCTTAACTCTACGTGAAACAGCAACCTTTTATTTGTTTAAAATATATATTTAACCGCAAAGAGAAGTTAATTCAGTTTGTTTCATGATGCCTCGCGCTGCAGGTGAACCAGCAGTGGAGGGGTTTTCACATCAGGCCACCCGAACACCTCTGCGGCCYGGATGGGTTGACGCTTCTGTCCGGGGTGGYGTGGTGTGTAATCGGCTGCAGGGTCCGGAATGATCCGGGGGACAGAACACTTGTCGGGTCCAGACTGAGCTGTATTGTGAATTTTAATAGAAACAGGGAACCAAATATAAATGAAAAGATATTCTTTCTGTTCTATTTTGGACCAAAGTCATATTTTAACAGTTTTTATTTTTATTTTTTGCCTGAACTTTACATGATTACATGTTGTAACAGCTAAATGTGAGTTTGCATGTACATCATGAAACTTTACTTTTTACAAAGTCATTTATTTAGAACATTCAGAAATGTTTTCATGGATGTTAGCTTGTCAAAATAAGCTAATGTCATGCAGTCGCGTCGTAAAATAAACTTTCTCTCCTCTTGGCCACACCTCCTCACTCACCGCCCCGCCCCCCCCCAGAGTCTCCACTTTATGCATTTTTCAAATTTGCGTTGGGGGCGGAGTTATACTTTCACAGGGGGGTAAGTTACACTTTAAGTTTGTGTAAGATCTGGCTTTTTATTTTATTAATTTTTTTAAACTAAATAGTGATAAAAAACTTTTCCAAAGAATACCAAACCATAAAAATGTTTGAATGTTTTCAAATTTAATATTGTTTTGAATTTGTATTTTTATAGCCTGTTGCCTAGCAACACAGGCAATAGCTAAAACAGGCCACCTGCTCTATGATCAGTAAAATTCTCTAGTGGGCGGGGCCTGCTCTTTGAGCTGATGATGTCATCATGACATCATTAGAATTTGCATATTTGATTATTTAACTTTACATATTTCTGTATGTGTTCATTCCAGACCTGGAAATCATTGCGAACACATCTCTTTCAAATTTGGAGAATAGTAAGTTTTTTGCATCTTTTTGCACATTTGAGTATTTTCTCGTTATTGGACCATATGCTTATGAATATGAAATCCAACACGGGAAACAACCTTTTGCAAATTCTGCAAAAAAACGCAGAAATGAGCACCTTTAAGGGTTTTGCTCTTCCAAACAACGAAAGCTTTCTTTTGGTGTCAGAGTATGATTTCCACCAAAAACTGGCATCCAAGGATGAATTAATCGTTAAACTGAGACAAGATTTAGCGCAGAGAGAGGCTGAAATGGAAAACATCAGATCTTCTCTGCAGCAGTTACAGGAAACCACGAAAAACAAGGAAAAGAAATGGAGGCTAGAGAAACGGAGTTTCCTGTATGAAAAACAGGATATGTCCGATCGTTTGGAACAAGAAACAACCAGGTTCCAACAAGAACTGAACTCTGAAAGAGAAAAATCAGTTCAGCTTGAAAATCACATCAAACATCTTGAGAGCGAAAACAAGAAGCATCTCGCTGAAATGAAAGACCAAAGAACTGCGTTAAAAAAGGCCACCGACCGTACTACGCAACTGGAACTATCTTTGATGGCTGAAAAACAAGAGACTGAACAGATGGAGAAATCTCTGGACCGTTCAAAGAAATACATTGAAGAACAAGAGAAAGKATGGAACGAAGAAAGAACAGGCCTCCTTGTTCAGCAGTACCAGATGTGTGCCCAATACGAACGAGCTGCCGCCAAAATACGAGAGACTCTGCTGTCTGAGAGACGAGATTTAGAGCATTCACAACACCAGGTGAGGCTTCTGGAAACCTCACACAAAGCAAAATGTGCTGAACTTCAGCAAGTAATAGAGGAAAAGTCCTCAGCAATCACACACTTAGAAGAGTCTCTAAGAACAGAACAAGTTAGTACCAAACAGCTCGAGATTTCTTTAACCCAGAAACAGGACGAAACACAAACCATCAGGGAATCATTGGAGCATTTACAGAAAATCATACGAGAACAGGAAGAGAGCGAAAAGATGAAAAAGAAACCCAAAAAAATCACTTGGTTCAAGTTGTTTAAAAGAAAGACCCCCGCTCCGCCTGACGCCTCGCTTCCTCCGTCCTCATAACTTTGGAATAATTTAACTGGTTTTTTACAAATATTTATTAATATTTATTAATTTATATTTATTAATGCTGAAAAGAAAAAGAACTGTGACATCATCAGTGACATCATCATGCATATTTGCATACATCATCATGGAG